CTTTCGGTCCAGTCGCGTAGGCTTGAGCAGGTCGACGACAACGTTTTTTGAATTGACTGTATACATATGTTCAAAGGCGCTTCACAATGAGTTTTTGAACGAGAGGTGGTTAGTATGAGGTGTAGGCACTAAGGGTGGTCACTGCCAGGGTTTCTTTACGTCTTCAGTGGTTCTTTTACGTCCCTCCGATGTTGTTTAGTAATGATGAGTGTGGAGAGACAGGACTGCCATTTAAAGTGGTCATCCGAGCCACTTGAAAGTCTAACCATTTACAGATGTAATTACAAAGGCAGCACCTTCTCCTCAGTTATTTTAAGACCCTGAGWGTTGGTCCGGGCGAGGCTTGAACCACGACCTCCCGCACAACAGACCGACGCTCTTACCAACTGAGCTAACCGGATGGCGTTTAATGACGCACAATGCTGCCTATGAAAACGATCTAAAACTAAGCCTATTTATCTTGTCCTTCTCACCATTTCCTACGTACAATTCTGTCAATATTTCACCAATATTTGAAGCAGATAAAGATATTCAATGAGATTCAATGACTTTTATCAGCTGATTGAAAACTCAGTTTTCAACCCTTGCAACTACACCAACTTCAATAAGCCTTCCTTTCATCAACCATTTGAACCCAGATTTCAATCCCTTCTTAGTCCAACCTTGTCTGCTGTGTTAGTCGATCAGTTGTTGCTTGTTACTACACCAACTTCATTAGACCTTCCTTTCATCAACCGTTTGAACCCAGATTTCAATCCCTTCTTAGCCCAACCTTGTCTGCTGTGTTAGTCGATCAGTTGTTGCTTGGAACTACACCAACTTCATTAGGCCTTCCTTTCATCAGCAGTTTGAGTGAACGTCTGAATCTCTCGAAACGAAAGGCGTAAAGCAGTGGGTTGAAGAAAGAGTTGATACCAAGAAACCAAAGTAAAACTGCATTCCAGCATATAATCTTTGTTTTCCATCTTAAATCGTACAATGTCACAAGGAGCTGCCCAGCTATCATGGGACCCAAGAGAAACAGAAGATTCGTAGTTATGACAGTAATGATTCGCTTGGCAAGCTTTCCTTCTCTTTGGATGCCGACATTGAGGCTTGATCTTCGCACAGTCCAAAAAATCCGAGCATAAAGAATGTAAGATACAACGTAAGATATTACGGAGACATAAGCGATGGATTCTAAAAAGAATGGTTTATTCGGGACATGAAGGTTTAGACATGAGTAATCGGTAAACGGAGAGGTCATCTGTAGAGCGACTGGTGTTACATTAACACCTAAGATAAGCAGCCCTACCAATACTAGGAGAGCTATAGCGATTTTACGAGTGATTCGTACATTGGGTTTAGTACTGTAGACGATACAAAGATACCGTTCAATCGTGACAATAAAACTAACAAAGGCACTAAGAGATTGTGCGGTCACTAACAATGCAAATAGACTGTAGCAGAGATAAGGCATCTTCTTGTCGAAAAACTCCAAACTTGACATGGAAATTCGGACGATGGTGAGAATAAGCAACCACAATCCTTGCAGAAAATCCCCCAACCCCATGCTAGCCATTAAAACCATGTTAGCTTTCTTGAACAGGCTGGGTGTCAAGGCAACAGTAGCCATAACGACAAAGTTTACCATCATCGTAGCAATACCGATTGGAATGTTGGGTAATCCCCACGTCCTAATTCCTAGGAAACAGCCGTCAATAAATTCAACAGAGATGTTTGAAGGTGGTTTAGTGAAAGGAGGCGACTTGCAAAGGTCGTATCTGTACGCACAGGTGATGGAAAAGTTTGAATGCCAAACAGCGGAGAAATTGGCGCCAAAATCAATAAGCAGTTCAAAGCAGTGGAGGCCATCTACAGTAACCAAATTAACCTTGCTTATTCTATTCTTCATGTCGGCGTGTTTTTGTAACTCACAAAGAACACAGTTCTTGTTCTCATATGGTAATGCATAGGTCACGATACCACTAATGTATGAGATGTTTGGAAGGTCCCGGATGTGTTGTCCTGGCGACCAGAAGGGATTTCCTGTGATGTTGAGTTCTGTTAAGGATGGCAGTTGCTTTGTGATGTCTAGTGTGTCCCACTCGTGCAGCAAGTTGAAACTTAAATCTCTAGGAAAGAATAATAATTCGTATAATAATAATAATAGAATAATAAGAATAATAAGAATAATAATTCAGGGCCTCAGGTTTTAAGTCCTTGTCCGAGAAGACTTGAAGGTCTAACCATTTGCAGATATAATTACAAAGGCAGCACCTTCTTCTCAGTTATTTTAAGACCCTGAGTGTTGGTCCGGCCGAGGCTTGAACCACGACCTCCCGCACAGGTTTCTCAACATCATTCATGATTCATATTTTTTTAGTTTCAATCAGTGTCTTACAGTGTCTTGAGTTTCATTAGTCCATTGAATGCTTTCCTTTGTATTACTTGTATGCTGTTGTAGGACAAGTCCCTTCAAGAAAAATCAGCAAATTAGGCTACCGTATCAAGAAATGCCCTATTGTTCGGTACTAAAGTTGAAGAACAATAGCAGGGATTAGCAAAGGATTAGCATATAATTAAGCCTGACAAGTCACKCGTAAATTCGCCAACTCGAGTGGCAACGAACACCATCGGAGAAGTTTCGTAAAACTTTCGTAAAGGGAGCAAAATCACAACTCTACCCCCCTTAGGCTAACTTTTGTATAGTTACCAAACTCTCACTACACTACCCCCACTAGGTTAAAATCGCTTGAAGTATCCTTGCGGATGGGGGTAGTACGTCTACGGTAAAAAACAGCTATCGAATATCGTTTTCGAATGCTATTGTAAATTAGAAGAGAAGCTTAGTGAGGAATGCTTTGTTTGGTCAACCAACATGGCGGCTATGACGTAACATGCACCCCAAGGTTTCAACCAGCTGATAAAAGTCTTTGAATCTGACCATTATCTGCTCCAAATGGTGGTCAAACACTGACCACCATGTGCTGCCAACCAGAAAGAATTGCTGTTTCAATCAGCTGATAAATTTCTTTAAATCTCATTATCTATTCCAAATAGGTCACTTGGAATGCATTATAGCGTCATTTACTACAGCTACCAGACTCCCTTGCGCTCTTTCTTTTGTTCAGCTAACTAGCAACAATTGTCTTACTATTCTCACGAGGAAAACAAATTTGAATAAGAAAGAAAATTCGTGAAACATTTTGGTAGTGATTGTCAAATGACGCCATCATGTAAACGGCCTATTGTGGTCAAACAACGACCAACATGTGCTGTCAACCATAAAAAGTATATTCACAACTTGTACAATATTTTAATTGCTTGACAACCAACTTACAGGGCAACTAGATTTTTATACTCCAAGAACATGTGCTCTTTTATCTCGACAAGGCTGTTCTTTGAGATATCTCTGGAAAATGTAAAAGTAAGAGATTCAAGTAATATATTAACTCGTGAAAGAGTGTTTCATCCGATTTTCAAACACCGAGATGCGAGTTGAAAAACGAGGCGGATGCGAGGTGTTTGAATAGAGGATGAAAACCCCTTTAGACGAAATTATACTAACGTATATAATACTCTATAGCAAAACAAATCTTGAAAGTGTTTGGTAATTCCTTTTTATTAGAGAAATTGCCCGAGGAGGTACCCAGGGGCTTGAAGATGTCGAGGAGGAATTTTGAGGAGAGAGGGGAGGGGAAGGGGAATAGGCCGTCTCACGGATCCCGTTACTCAACCTCAGCTTCGTCAGCGTGTAATTATTCTTTAGAATTTGACTACAGTCCGCAGTAATGAAAGGAATTTACACATCAACGAACAATTGAAACACTTAAAAATTTCACAGGTTGTAGGCAATTTCTAAAGAATATATTACACGCTAAACGAGGCTGAGGTTGAGCCGCGGGATCTGTGAAATGGTCTATTCTCTGGTAGCACGAGTTTCCAGCCCTGGAACCCAGAAACAAAAACAAAAAATGAGCAGTTTTTACGACTTACAATCTGGATACCGCTTCAGGCGATGAAATGAGGTTGACAAGCTGAGTTATTGTTTTCAAACCACAGGTCACGTGGACGTTGCATTCTGAGTCACGTGAATGAGCACATGTACTGTTTCCATCCCAGGACGTGTTCAAGTGGGCTTCACATGCTGTGTTCTTATTGGTTGTTGCATCACAAGAATTGATGCCATAAAATGCCAGCATGACAATGTGAAGCATCATCTGAAAGAAGGTTTGTGATTGGCTGAATATTTTGCGTTTTCCTTTATCTTAAGTGGAAGAAAATATTCGAAACTTTCCCTCTCTATCCATCCATCCATCCATCCGTCCATCCATCCATCCATCCGTCCATCCGTCCGTCCGTCCGTCCGTCCGTCCGTCCGTCCGTCCGTCCGTCCGTCCTTCCATCCGTCCATCCATCCGTCCATCCATCCGTCCATCGATCCATCCAACCAACCATCCAACTCAGTCCATCCCATCCCATCCCATCCCATTCATCTATATCCATCCAGATGCTTATTTTTTCAGGTGATTAAAGTTTGCCACATTCTATTCACTCGTACTTCCCACTGTTATTTTTTCTTTGAATGGTGTAGTTAATGGAAAAAAGTCTTCATACATACATACATACATACATAGTTTATTACATATATACATAGTTTATTCAAATCGCAAATAAATTATTGACAAATAGTAAAATACAAGTTAGAGCAGAGGCTAGCAAAAAGCGATACAAATAAGACAACAAAGCACAATAATAGGCGACTTGAAAGGAAGTTATGAGGTTATCCCTATGTGAAAACTCCCAAGAAAACAACAAAACATGACAAAAATGCATTATAAAGAAAGACCCTAAGCAGCGTAATTAGCGAAAAATGCTC